TTGAATACTTGATACAACTACTACAAATTTAGTTATATTCTTACCCGCGATAATGTATAATGGAATTTTATCTGCTAGCATTAAGAACATTACATTATAACGGTAGGCAGCGGCGTGGCTCTGTCCCCGACATTGATGACGTCCATGGGCGACGGTAACCACTCACCATCAGGTGGGCCGTATGTTCGTCTGTCTACTAGGAGTGGGTGATATAAATCGTATATAGATTCAATATCTATATATCGCAGCAATATCGTTGAATCCGATATCGCCCCGCATGAAATCTATATATCGATATCAGCCGATACACGATATTGCTCGATGTGATGCGCATCGCCATATCGTACCGATTCGTGAATCGAAATCTATATTTCGATATCAGCCGATACACGATATTGCTCGATGTGATGCGCATCGGCATATCGTACCGATTCGTTAATATCAGCAATATTCGTTTGGTTCGTATCGAATCGGCCAGAGTGAGTGAGCGCACGATAGGGATATCATGTGATGAATGAAACAGAAACAGGCATTATCCATACAATTGTAAACCTTATATTTAAGTCCATATGTCTGTAGATTATTCTTAGCGTATCAGCAGGATACAATTAAGGAAAGAAGTTTCAACTTTCGACCCTAACTTGAATGCAGTATAGCCTATTTGCATCGTTGAATTTAATTTCACGCGCTTTGACCTTGAACTAGAATTTTTGGACAAGTGTTTATAAATACTTAAAAGTTTTTTGTGTTTGATTTTTAAAGTACACATTTTTCTATTTTTAGTTGAATCCAAATAATTGAGTTTATTTCTTGTGTTTGTATTAAACTTTTGAAATCTACACTCTTTTGGTATATTTTGTAATTTTAAATTAAGACACAAAATACTAAAAACTGAAAATAATGTAGCCAGTCCTAAGCCTGGTAAAAGCATGAAGGAAAGTTTTTTTGATATTTTTATTTTCATGTTCTTTTTATTACTTTAAGATCATATTATAAATTGATATCAGAAAACCAACCGTATAACGTTGACTTAAATCTATATCTACTACGATATTATATCAGCGTATCGTTTCAAATCTCAAATATCATGAATCGAGAAAATCTACTAGCATCCATCAATATATAGATTCAGAAAATATATAGATTCAATATCCGATATTGATCCTCGATATATAGATACGATTCGATACGCGGCAAAACCGATATTACCCACTCCTACTGTCTACAAGGGTAATAAAATAAAAACAATACAAAAAAATAATGCCCAATCCTACGCGTGTTCTATTATAGGTGTCTCTTACGAAAACCAAGTTATCTCTAATCACTAATAACACATTAGTATAATTAAAAAACAAAACAGAAAATAAACGCTATTAATATTTTCTAAATAGTAGCATATTATCTTAATTTTCTATAGAAATTGCGTCTCTGTAATTAAACGGCAATAATTCATACACCATTTCTTAAAATAAAGTAGGTACGTATGTATGTAGGTACATGAGTTTTCGCAAGATATCTCTTATCAGTTGAACGTGTTGTGTCAAGGACGCCGACCTGTTTGTATTATAATTTTATCAAAAGTATACATTCAAACAACACACATTTTCACTGAACTGAATGTACTCTTTTGACTCTTTAACAGACAAATAAACCACCTAGTTTCCAGTGAATTCGGCAAATTTGAATAAATTTACGTACGCCTTATGTTACTCACTCTCGTGACTGGCTTTAATAATCGTAATATCAATTGTGCCAAAACTAACAGCCCAAGGGATAATATCGTACGTTTAGTGATAGGAGATAAAATGTAGACTCTTAATGACAGTAATCTGACATATCTATATATATATATATAAAAATGAATTGCTGTTCGTTAGTCTCGCTAAAACTCGAGAATGGCTGGACCGATTTGGCTAATTTTGGTCTTGAATTATTCGTGGAAGTCCAGAGAAGGTTTAAAAGGTGGATAAACATGAAAATGTTCGGAATTAAATAAAAATAACAATTTCGTTTTCCCTTAGATGTGTCCTCCGTCGGACGGATTTCATTTGTTTGTTTCAATTTTATTTTATACAAACGTTTAGGTCTTTTATTTATCGATTGAGGCACTAAGAAGTCTGCCGGGTCAGCTAGTTATTAATATAATACACGAAAGATCTCCGAAAAATATACGGACCAAGCTCCTTGAATTACAGATATTACATTTCTGGCATCATTACTTTTCGACGAGCCGCCCAAGAAGCATAAGAGTGGTTAGCTGTTCTGAGTGAGCATAGATATTTCGTTTGAAACACAGAACAATCGCTATTTCAGTTGCAGTCCAGACATAGACCGCGCGTCTGATGGCATTGCACCAACTCAAGACCAATAATAACATCAGAGTATCGTAGACCAATAATAACATCGTGGCCTAAAGGATAAGACGTCCGATGCATTCGTATCGAGCGATGCAACGGTGTTCGAATCCCGCAGGCGGGTACCATTTTTCTAATGAAATACGTACTTAACAAATGTTCTCGATTGACTTCCACGGTGAAGGAATAACATCGTGTAATAAAAAATCAAACCCGAAAAATTATAGTTTGTGTAATTAGTGGTGGTAAGACCTCTTGTACCATCACCCTGCCTCTTTCAGCCGTGGCGCAGTCATGCGTTTCGGTTTGAAGGGTGGGGCAGCCGTTGTAACTATACCGAGACCTTAGAACTCAGATCTCAAGGTGGGTGGCGGCATTTACGTTGTAGATGACTATGGACTCGGGTAACCACTTAACACCAGGTGGGCTGTGAGCTCGTCCACATATTTATGCAATAAATAAAAAATTATATTGGCTTGCCTATCATTCAAACTGAAATGTACCATATAAATGTTAATCTCACGAAACCTTCTATTGAACTGCGCCATCGTTAGCTCCTACAGACCCTGAATAAGATTAAAAACATAACAATAAAACAAACTAGCTACTTAATCATGGAAACATTTCAGAACCGTACACAGCCTTCGCGTTATCACGACTTCGATTGATAATACGTAATCAATCAACACAGATTTTAAATATGGCTCTCAATTCAATTACGATGATTGGTAATGTTTATGTATCGGCTCAATAGATGTTTTTATTTATTTGATTGATGATTTGATCATCAAAAATCATATCAAGCACTTAACGAACATCAACGATCACTCTTCTATGAATTTTAATGCAAAAATATTGATAAACAGTATTGTTTTATTTGTATTTAATTTAAATAAAAAAAAAGTAATAACTAATTAACCTCGTTTGAATCAGGACGAGTTATAACTGCAACTTTTCTACAATATTACATAAATATAAAACATTTGTTTGCTGATTAATAATTTTTTTTTTATGTTGTTTATACGTCACTCAATCTGGGGTTCCGGTAGATTAAAAACTACATATTATTAAGTAAACATACTAATAATATTAAGTAAGCGATAAAAACTGTATTAAAAATTATGTAAATTTACTGGAAATAAAAAGGCTTTATTATTATTATTATTATTATACGTCAACCAATAATTATAAGTATTAATTGATTGGTACAACTAAAGTTTAAATTTTAGTACAAAACTATTAACATGTGCACTAGTATACTATTATTCAGCACATTCAGCAGCCAGTGAGATAATAAGACTGAGATCCCCTGACTCCAGAATGCCTTGATTTTGTCATTGTGTTAAAAATAACAAGCACTATCGTAATCTATATATTAATACGTGAAACAAAAACTTTGTATCCCTTTTTACGAAAATTGCGCGGACGGAGGAGTATGAAATTTTGCAAACTTGTAGAGAATATAGAGAAGAAGTGCACAATGCTAATATTTTTTAAAATAATGCATAAAATATACATTAAATCAATAAAGAAAACATTATACACACTACATACCATGTATTTGACGCACACATGCATGCATACTATTTATTGTCAAACTTTCGTTCTTGACGTATGTGGTCAAACTGAGAATAGATTAAATATTGTTTGTCTTGGTTAATATTTTTTATAGTGGCGAAATTTGTAATTATAGAATTATAAAATACAATCATAATAGTGTACAAACTTACAATTCCAATTAATTATAGTCGAATTTCGACTACTGCGGGACCTCTAGTATTGTTTTATTATATTACATTAATCAAAACTTATACAATTTTATATTTCCAAACACCCATGCCTTTCTCCAGTACACGCGATCAGTCAGGGCCTAATTAAACCCAGATAACGAAGTCGGCAAAAAAATCTGTTTCGCAATGCATTGTTCGTCGAAGGTCAGAGATAAGGTCATTGTCAGCAGCGAAGGAAAATGCGCATCGAGGTGTATTGACAGATAAAATAACAATGATTGAGGATGCATTTACGAATAATGTATTAATATAAAAATACATTGAATAAAGATGGTACGGTATAAGTACCAAACAATTAGGTTTTTTTTAATTGCTTAATTGGGTGGACGAGCTCACAGCCCACCTGGTGTTAAGTGGTTACTGGAGCCCATAGACATCTACAACGTAAATGCGCCACCCACCTTGAGATATAAGTTCTAAGATCTCAGTTTAGTTACAACGGCTGCTCTACCCTTCAGACCGAAGCGTATTACTGCTTCACGGCTGAAATAGGCAGAGCGGTGGTACCTACCCGTGCGGACTCACAAGAGGTCCTACTACCAGTAAGAAACTATTACTATGAGTACTAAGTTAATGGTATATGGTCGTTTTTAGGACGGTTGACTCGAAGTCCCTCGTGAACTTCGTTTTGTAGTGATTTCAAATATACTTGATTAACTTATTATTTGTTTGTTGACCGTAGGTAAGCCATGAGCTCGTCTGTATCTGATGACCACGTATCAGTGGCGGCACTCACGCTGTAGCCTTCATGAGCTCCAGTTATCACTTAATGATAACGCTGTGCCGCGATGGACCGCGTACCCGTTTGAAAATGTACAGAATACAATTTTAAATAATATATAACATAAGAACTTACCACATTGATCTTCCCGAGTATGTGATTGATCTGATCCTTGCTGCACATTTTGCTGTCTTGTTGCTATCAATTAACTATTTATTCACTTTATCACATTTTACATCTATCACTCGATTTCAATCATCATTTTACAACCTAAAATTCAATTTAAAAATAGCATTTCTTTTTGAGGCCCAAATTTAAAAGTGACTAAGATATTTTCTACTCTATACCATATCGAATAAAATTCTAAATTTCGTTTTATATATATGATTTTGATATGTAAATAATATGAGGTGAAAGAAATATAGTAAGTACTAAAAAGTGTTTTTTTATTGCTTAGATGGATGGACGAGCTCACAGCCCACCTGGTGTTAAGTGGTTACTGGAGTCCATAGACATCTACAACGTAAATGCGCCACCCACCTCGAGATATAAGTTCTAAGATCTCAGTATAGTTACAACGGCTACCCCACCCTTCGAACCGAAACGCATTACTGCTTCACGGCGGAAATAGGCGGGGTGGTNAGTGGTTACTGGAGTCCATAGACATCTACAACGTAAATGCGCCACCCACCTCGAGATATAAGTTCTAAGATCTCAGTATAGTTACAACGGCTACCCCACCCTTCGAACCGAAACGCATTACTGCTTCACGGCGGAAATAGGCGGGGTGGTGGTACCTACCCGTGCGGACTCCCAAGAGGTCCTACCACCAGTGTGTTTAAAGCTACACGACCAAAACTATCCGTAATTTTTCACAACCAAATAAATTTACGTAACTCTGTCACAACTAGTAAATTTACAAGCGAAATTACAGCCTATTGTAACACAATACAATTAACATATTCAATTAGGCCTGACATACCTGTACTGTTCACGATTACAATCAAATAAATCGACCGATATGCGAATAATTAAGTTCTATATTAACTTTACGAAACGTTGTTCGATACATTATAACATTCGTCAATACAATCGACAATGTTCATTATAATTATTTTATTACTAGCTGACCCGGCAGACTTCGCAGTGCCTCAATCGATAAATAAAAGACCTAAACCTTATTTAATTTCGAGAATTTTCATATTTATCTACCTTTTAAACCTTCTCTGGACCTCGACAAATAATTCAAGATCAAAATTAGCCAAATCGGTCCAGCCGTTCCCGAGTTTTAGCGAGACTAACGAACAGCAATTCATTTTTATATATATAGATTATTAATTGTTCATTATAATATGAGTGTTTTTTTTCTCCTCTACCTTTTCGCTGCTAGCATAAGGGGCTATTCTAACTACCCTCAGACGGCTAGGTGAGCTCACGAGCTCAAGTGAAGAGATTTTGCTAACACTAGCCTAAGCAAAAGCAGTACTTCGCAGAATCTATCACCGGATCGAAATCGCGACCCACCGGAGAAGGCGGCCCGGCGAGAAACTCAGAGAGCGTCTGTCTGTACATGCTTCTTGCTGAACTATGTAGTAATTGTCGGAACTTCTACGATGGTGTATCCAGACCAACAAAACTGAATTCACAATAGTTTTAAAATTCATATCCAATTAAGTCGTTATAAAGATATTTTAGCATTCAATCAAAAACGCAAAAATGCACTCTAAATATGTGTAGGTAAGCAATAAAATTTATAATTCGAGCTCATGTCGTCGCAAGGCGTACAGCGACATTCACATCGAGATGTCTATGAACATTGGTAACAACATAACACCGGTGGGCAACTACGAAACAAATAAAACCTAAACAACCTCTCTATAAACGATACGACTACTTTAATTTAATCAAGTCATATATACGAAATACAAAAAAGATACAAAAAACATCGCTATAAATCACTTCAGTATCAAAATTAATTTAACTTTAAAGGTCGAATCATGAAAACACCCATACTTGTATGTATATTAAATAATTTCAATAATTTATTTAAATTATTTATCAAAACATGTTAAACAAACTTCATTAGTTGTTCATCTGGGTTGAGTAGCACTAATATTACGCCAGGGGGCCTATCGCAAGATAACTCACTCTAGCCGGCGCCATCTAGACGGACTTCGGACAGCCTGCCGACCGAGAGGGCTGGTGGTTGTAGCGCCGACAACCACCGGTCCGGCGTCCCGAGGAGGAGGGTGATGGGAGAGATGTGCTCCGCACTAAACGCATCACTTTCCCCTCTTTGCCTTTTCATGAGTTCTGTCTCATGGGAGGTTTGGACGTTGATTGTTGAGCAAAAGGAGGTCTTAGTCGGTTCGACTCCGACATGCCCTGCCCTCCATCTCCAGTGGGGGGCGAAAGTCCGGCGATTTCCTCCTGACCAAAATAAAAAGGGGGCCTATCGCCATGCGCTCAATCCTTTTTTTTTTTTTTTTTTTTTTTTTTTTTTTTTTTTTTTTTTTTTTTTTTTNCTGCCATTCGGGGTTGTGGTGTGTGAGTTCCACCTGATGTGTTTACAATTTAGGTCGCCCGCCAGAATGACAGAGCTCCCCATACCGAGCAGCGCCTCGATATCACTGCTTAGAACGATCTTATCCGGTGGAAGATAAACGGACGCGATAACGATCGGCGCGTGTCCCGTCAGTGAGATTCGGCACACTGATGCTTCGATATTAGCGATCCTATCGTTACGGATAGGGGCTTTATTCTACTTGCGCTCAATCCCTTAGCGGTTCATAGAACGATCGAGTACCTAAATAAACTAATAAGCAATGTCTAAAGAGCTTCTACATAAACAACTCCGGATCAAATAATATTTAATTTTCAAAAACAAATTACACTGCGTTCTCAATCCGAAAAACGGATACAAGCAGTTCACTTTACATACAAAAACGCAATTATAATGCGGACAACATAAAGGTATTAGTGAAAACACGATTCAAAGAGAAATTCGTACAATTTCACCGAATTCTTGCATATTGGCACCGCGTATTGGTCTGTTTTTATACGATTTAATTGAATTTTGATTCATCGACGAGCCACCACAGTCACACTAAAAGACTAAGATCAGAAATACACGATTTCAACATTTCAAATTGTAATTGGTTCAAATGTATTAGAAATATTTGTCGTAATTTTTTTTTTTATTTCGTTATATTCTGGATCTATAAATAAAATTCGATTTCAACTTTCGAGAAAAAAGATCCAAAAAACATAGGATGTAGTTAATAGTGATTCGAATGAAAACAGATCCTTTTGCTTTTTATATCTAAATACCGCTTCTCCTTCGAAATTATTAACAAATAACAATGCTACGGCTAATATAAGTAAGTGTCTGTTATATACTATTATTATTTGTTTTTTTACTGGTGGTAGGACCTCTTGTGAGTCCGCACGGATAGGTACCACCGTTCTGCCTATTTCTGCCGTGAAGCAGTAATGTGTTTCGGTTTGAAGGGTGGGGCAGCCGTTGTAACTAAACTAGAGACCTTAGAACTTATATCTCAAGGTGGGTGGCGCATTTACGTTGTAGATGTCTATGGGCTCCAGTAACCACTTAACACCAGGTCGGCTGTGAGGTGGTCCACCCATCTAAGCAATAAAAAATGTAATACTAAAGTAAACTACAAAATTTATGATCATATATCTTTATGTCTCCGCATACATAAAACTAATTAAAGAACCCATCTATGCCAGTTCCTAGTCGTATTAATAATAAAAAAACAAAACTAGCATAAATAGTTTGACCACAAAGCAGAGACGACAAAAAGGTCAAGGTGACAGTAACATTTGACTGTTTCGAAAGGATTTACTGGGATCTAAATGCTTCGAATTACCGTGAATCAAATAATAAGCATATAGAATCATAATCAAATGTAAAACAATTCTCAAATAAATTATCAACTTTTAATAAAATTCAAACAAATTAAACATTATTTATTGTATGAGGTAGTTTTATTTTCTCTGGTTCAGTCTTAGACAAACTTCAAAGTTGAGACCTTTTTGAGATGCACTGTAATAACACTTACCTGTTTTGTTTTACTTTAATGTTTTATACACAAAAATACTTCGAAAACGCTACACTATCTCCCTTCTTGTAAGTATTAGAAAACGATGAGCATTCCGATAAAATTCTTGAAATATGCGGGTAGTGCACGCGAAAAATTCCTACCTACCTACCTACGGTACACGCGAAAAATTCGCTGTAAGGCATTTAAAAAAAAAAAAAAAAAAACCATAATCCTGTATTCAGGAAGAACTCGAATTATGACACACCCAGAAAATCAGTATTAACCTCATATGCAAATTAATAATTGTACGCGGAAAATCTTTTGCAGCCAACAAAAAAACGGACAACATTCGGCACCTCGTAAAACGAAAATTACGCCATTTTTTAATTAAAGCATCTTTATATTTTATTCGCTACGGTCACGCCGGAATTCGTACTGTGAAGCCAAGAACTAGTTTTACGCTTGTTTTTGTTCACATTCCGAAGAAAACGCGAGTGTTACCTAAATGCTGTTACAGACGACGAACGTAAAAATTGTTCACTTTCTTTTCGCATATTGGAGATAATATCAAACATTAAATTATTATTACGTGTCGCGTCAATTAAAGATGTTTAAATTTTTGAAGACAAAATTAGGTATTTACTAATTCCACCTTGGTAATATTACTGAATTAGCTTAATCAATATTGTATTCATACAAATCAATTTTATTACAAAAATTTCAATCGTTATTTTTATACGGCGCAATCCTCATTCGCGAAGCAATTGCTCTTGTGTTGTTAGGTCTCCTTTGGAGGCGCTCGGGCAGTTGTTAGCAAATCCCACCCCTCCTGGCAGAGCGTTTGCTCGCCCACCTGTCCTAGTGAATCTGGAAAGGTCTCCGGGCCTCCAGTAATCTTTCAATCATAAAAAAAAAGCGTCGCTATCGATCCACGTCTACAAATGCACTTAGTTTGACAAATTGAAATTACTCCGTTCATACCACTAAAATTTATAGAATCGAATAGATATTTTTCAAATTGATCAACCATCCAACGAATCACTACGGAGTGGAAACAATTTCATGCCTTTTGGACAGACATTTATTTTTACGTTTTTTCGATATTCTTAATTTAAAAATTCACTTTCACCGTAAGATATAAATTTAGGCTTTATAAACTTTCAATTTTAATAATAAATTATTAAAATAAATGATCTTTTAAATTTG